GATTTGAACCGCTGAACTGCAGATAACAGTCAGCTGAAGTGGCCTGCAGTACTGCACCCTAACCACTGCGCCACCTTATCAAAGGGTAGCTGATAAATGGCAGTCAAACAAAAGCAGAAGGACTCCAGGAAGCCCAAATTGTTGATGGCTGATACCTGAGTGGCTGATGCTATTGGAGAATGGAGTGTATGGAAGAAGGAGGTGGCAAATTTGATCCTAGCAGACATCAATTTGTGTGAAGAAGACCAAAAAGAAAAGTCCCGGAAGAGAATGATGTGGGATAGCCAGGGAAAAAGCTGAATCATTGTAGGGCTAATACTGTAGAGAGAAAAAATCAGTCAGCTGAGATCTGTGCACAAACAAAGGAGAAGCAGTCTGCAGTCTGACATTAGTGTTGAAGTTCACTTATTCATCTGGAATCTCCAGGAGTGAGCGAGCCGTGGATCTAAAATATGAGTGAATAGACTAAGAAAATACTGCATAAAGAGAAAACGAATGCAGTTCAGAGAGAAGGAAAAGAAACAGCCCTTGAGGAATACTCACAGTATTATTTGAACTCAAGCCTTTAAGAGGCAACACAGAGAGTTCCATAGAAACATTAAAGGGTTTGTTTAAAAATATAAGGTGAAAATAAACCAGGCATAAGTTTTGACTTACGTTGGAAAAAATCTAAGTGCTGTCTATGTATCTCTAAAGCAGTAAGAATTCTTTAAGGGTGAGGCTTTTCCTACTTTCCTGAATCATTCAAAATGGATCAGGACAGTGGGATCATGAAAAAGTTGTTCCACAAGATCAGAGAACTGATCTTTAAGCTGGAAGAATGCCCCCCAAAATGTCTAAAAATGTAATAAAATTCTTTCCCTCTTCTATCTCATTTTGCCATATTCCCATGTAAACGAAGCTTTCTCCAAACCAAATATTGTTCCTGTTGTCACAGCTGTACATCTTGGTTAGATGAAGTATTCTGTATACAGCAATGGGTCATTAGGTCCTTCAAGAAATCCACAAGGGAGCATGGAAAGAACGGTCCCTTTGCAGTTGG